CTCACTCACATGAGTTGTAAGAAAATTTTGAAGAGGTAACCGAACATAAAATTGCTTAAACAAAATGACTTTCATCCAACATCTTCCCTCGAACAAAGCACGCCTCCCTTTAATCGAGGCTCGACTCCTTTTTCTTTTGGCGTCCTTTATTTGACATTTGAGGATTCTATTAATATGACTAAGTTTAGAACATGGCTCTGATACTGTGTTATGTGTTAGAAGAACACGACTATTCACAATGGTAACTTTGAGCATGAGCTCTCGTGACTTTGCTTTGAGCTTTCCAAAAGGCCTCACACCAAAGGAGATAGTATTCCTTGATTATAAACCCATGATCATTCCCTCAATGAGCCGATGTGAGACTTTCATCCAACACCCACAAACCAACAAGAGTCATTTCAGCATGTTTTGTCCCTACTCACGCGAGTCGTAAGAAAATTATCAAGAGGTGACCAAACATAAAATTGCACAAACAAAATGACTTTCAATTCATTTAAGCATTTTTGTAGTCATGTTTGTTTCAAAATCACTCTCAATAAGACGTGGTCGTAGGTTTCTTTTATTCGGGTGTTAATTTGACATGAATACCAGTAAATTTACTGCTTGATAGGTGCAGTAAATGTGAAGATAATTGATGAATGTGTAAAATGGTAAAGAAAGGGTTTTCAATTTGTAGACAGACATGGCGATGGAGCAACATATAGCAATGGTGTCATTCAAGGAAATATAGAGATGGGCCTACGTGTTGTATGGTGAAAAGAAGAAAAAGGGAATCTTTGCAAATTGGAGTAGCAGCTTAAAAAAGATGAACAAATTTTGATACGCATTGGACAGTGACAACAATGCTGTAAATCTAACCCTCTTCATACCATCATTACTCGCTTGCTTTGAATCAAAACATCTTGTGTTTATGTAATGTATTGGGAGATCATTATTTCCTTTGCTTTTTGCATCATAACGTGTTGTTATTCTTTGTGCATGAACCACAACTAAGTGATGAAGAAGGAATAAGGGTGCGTTGTAGTTTAGAATCAACCCAACTATCCATTTCCATGCAAAACCCATACCAAATTTGTCGTAAGAGTCGTGAGATATTCGTCTTTCAAATTCACATCCACCCTCGTCCACGTACAATCTAGTAGCTATTGTTCACTTTGACCCGTTACATATTACTGTCAGCCTCACGGTTTTAAAACGAGTCTGTTAAGGAGAAGTTTTTACACCCTTACAATAAATGTTACGTTCCTCTCTTCAACTTACGTTGGATGTTAGTTCCTGATGGGTACCTCTAAAATTTCAAAGCCTAACTTTGAATCACTTCCCTCCCCAAACACTTCGCATGGCATAACACGATCTCACTTTTTCGTATGAATCATTATAACAGCTCCCTAAGCTCACTCCTAGCCAATATTGTCTTCTTTGGACTTCCCCTTTCGAGCTCCCCTCAAAGTTTTAAAACGCGTCTGTCAGGGAGAGGTTTCCACGCCATTAAAAGAAATGTTTGGTTTTCCTCTCCAACCGATGTGAAAACTCACGATCATCAACCAGTTTTTGTTTAAATTATGTTTGGAAGTGATGGTTCGTGTTCATTTAAATTTTAAAATTTGTAATCTTTTGTTCCATAAAATCTAGCTATAGTGTATCATTGTAGGATTCTCTTTAATCATGTCTCAAATCTTGTCTTAGCAAATGGATAGCACCAGCCAACCAGAAAAGATGGCAACAACTTCCCTTCAATAGTGGGTTATGTGTTAATTGAAGCTTTAATCAACTTTTAAGTACATTGTTAAACAAAGTTTCCACTACAACAACCAACATGATTCGATGTGTGGGCCTTCCACATTGAATATTAAGTAATATTACTAAACAAATTCTGCCATAAACACATAATTCAAACTAAAATAGATTTGATGGAAATAATTCAAATCAAAAGTAAAATACATAATCAAGCTCCATTTGAGGGAGATGAAGAACAATCACACACAACCTCAGTTCCTACAGCTTGTCTTCTATGGAAGTTCCGGTGACAACCACAGGCAGCACAAGTGAGTGCAGCGATCGTCCCTTCGTCGCCACTCGCCATGAATTCCCGACACCCGTCGACAGCATACCCTCCGACGCCAGCGGCATGGTTCTTTTGGCACTCCCCATATCTAACACTCCTTACTGTCAAAGATGAAGCCACAGTGTCTCTTGAGCTTTCTTCCCTTCTAACTACAACTTGACGCTTCCTCATTTTTGGTAATGGGAGAGGAATATCTTTGTGTAAACTTATGAGAGATCACAATTTTGTAAGCCATAACCCCCAAAACACTCAGTTTAAATAGAGTCAAAAGTTTTACGTTTTAAAAAGAAAAACTTTTAATGACATGTCATTTTTTCGTTCGTTGATTCTATATTAAACTTTTTTTTGTCTCTCTGTTAATTGGGTTCCAGGCCCTTGTAAAAAAATGATATGTTCTCTTTTGTGACTGATGTGAGGGAAAAAAAGATGCTTGTTTTGGTCAAGAACAGTTGCTCGAGATATCTCGAGGAGACATGTTTTTTGTTTTAAATTATGAACCAACAAGAATTCAAAAACAAAAGAGCTAAAGATTTGAAAATGAAGAACAATAATTCAAATGTAAATAAGGCAAAAAATTAAAGATGTTAAGAAAAGTTTTTGTTTCCACGTAGCTGATTGATTGGTTTAATATAGAATTGAACAGCTATGTAATAAGTTGGGTTTTGATCCTAATGTGTAATGTGGCCCCTAAATGAGTGTAAAAATGGGCAGGTTTTTTGTGGGGGCGTACTGCCTAAAATGACGCTCCACTTTGGCCTATGTACCCTCTCCTCTTCCTCCTCCTCTGCAAACCAAGCTAATTTCTTCCAACTCTTTGAGTTTGCTACTCATTTTGAAATGTTTTGATATCAACTTAGAGGGGTGGATATATTGTAAGCTTTTGTCGAACATAGCCCAACAATTACGTTGTAGTAATGGTTTTTATATACTATACTTGGAAATGTACCTCAACGTTCATTTATAATTCGTCCATCTAGGCTACTAGATAGGTGAAAATTGCTATGTTGTTGAGGTATATATGGTTAATGTTTAAAAGCTTTATATGGTCAAAAGTGGATATGTAATATATTTATGTACATTTATTACCTGTCGAGAGACATTGAGTGTAACGTAATAGACAATATTATACATTGTGAAGGTTCATAGTTCCTAATATAGTATCAAAGACATGCTCTTAATTCAGTCATGTCAAACAAATGATTCTTGACAGTCTCCCGACCGACCAAATCATTTTTGATGCCATCACCCATTATGTTTCCCAAAGGCTATTACTCAGTGACACATTGCCAAGGTGGGAAACCACTATATAATATTTGATTCTCTTCCTTTGCCTTAAGGTTTTTCAAATCTAATAATTTAATTCTTTTCGAAATCCGACTATTTAATTTAAAACATATAGGTTGGGTTGGGTTGGGTTGAATTTTTAAGATTATTGTGAAGATTAATAATATTCGATGTTTCTAACTAATATCATCGATAAAGTGAATATTTGAAATTTTAATTTTATGATATTTTAGTTATTAATGTAATATGTACAGTGAAGAATTACCATTTTTTTTTAATAATTAAAAAAACTCGACAATTTAACAAAACCCAACCCAAAATTAGAGGGTTGAATTGTAAACTTTATTCGAGTTACTTGAGTTACCAATCAAATTAATTCAAAATTTCAAGATGGTCTAAAAGATTTTACACCAATTTTAGAAGGGAATATTCCCAAATAATTAAATTATAAGAAAGTGTAAAAAATAAAAAAATAAAAAAATCTAAAAAAAAGGGCCTATTGGGCCTTTTTCTTGTTTGGTTTTTTCTATAAAAAACATTGGGCCATTAGTCTGCAAAATGACCGGCCCAGGCCCAATTCGTTTCTCGGCAAAGGGTGTTAGTCGGAGCACCGAATTTACAAAAATGCCCTAATTTTGTGGTCCATTAATTGCATTAATGTCTCACTATTGTATTCTTACACATATGTTGGGTGTTTCTTCCACACCCTTCCATTTCAACCACTTCCTTAATTTTACAAATTGGAATAATAAAAAAAAAAAAAAAAAAAAAATTCTCCAATAACCAAATATATATATGGTAGGAGGTAGCTAAAATATTAATTCCCAATTATTTCCAACACCCAACTTTATAAATTCAAGTTTGACTAAGGAAGGAAAATAATAATAATAAAAAAAAGATAGAAACTTTATGTTTGAACCAGGATTCGTTTGTGCTAGGGTTTTAGGTGACCTTTATTGGTAGCTACTAGGGCTCGATGATGCTAAACCCTCACCCATTTAGAATCCAATGAAAATAGACCGGGTGCTTTTCTCCAAATGCCAAAACAACCCTTTATTAACTCTCTAAATCAAATATTGTATGTTTTGACCCTATGTATCGCCGTCGGGAGAGGTTTCCACACCCTTACAAGAATGTTTAGTTCCATTCTACAAAGTTATTAGATCTTGCATCAAAAAGTATTATTATTTTCTTCTTTTTCTATTCATGTAATGATTATAAACGTGACAAAGAAAAGGGTATTAGATTATGATGATGAAATAAATCAAACAACATTATTCTAAACCCTTCTTTAAACGTAGATTAAGTAGTAGCAAAGGCGGCAGCTGCAGCAGCAGGTACATCACTGACCCTTTGCACTTTGCTTCATTAAACAATAAACAATAGTACCCAAGTACCGCCAATGATTGAAAATAGTAATATATATATAATTTAACTTAATTTAATTATAATTATCCCTTAATTAACTTAATCAGCATTTGGAAATGTGCACAAAATCTAATATTCAGGCAATATTCTACTTTCTGCTGCTTTCTCCGAGACAGAAGATCAGGGGGAAATCTTTTGGTCTCTGTGATGAGACGTTAGATTCATGAAATTTACAGAAACAGAGAAAAAAAACATTAAACATTCGTTAACACCGAATTCAATGTGGAGTTAATTAATGATTAATGCATTTAATCACTAATTTCATGTTATAATCCACTCCAAACAGGGTGGTCTTCTCATTAATTGATTCAATTAAACACTAAGCTAAAATGAAAATTTCAAAGGGGGGGAAAAAAAAAAAAACAGAGCTACCTAGCTTGGATTTCTATATCAGCTAATGATGAGGATGATGCAGTTTTATTCTTAATTACTTGTGAAACAGAGCAGTAGATCAAGAGGAAGAAGATGACCCATTTGAGCCAATATGCATATGTAAACCCGCATCTGCTCTGTCTTCGTTGTTGTTGACGGCGGCGGCGGCGGTGGCGGTGGCGGTGGGGGTGGTGGTAGTGGCGCCATTGGTGTCGGTCTTTTTTCCCATGGTGTTCTTGTTGTTGTGCATCCATACTTTGAGAACCCCTCTTTCAATTCCGATTTCATTGCAGAAATCTCGAACCAAATCTTCGTCTCTCTTCTGCATTTTCCATCCAACTCGTTCCGCTAAATCCAACATTTTCTCCTTTTGTTCGTTGCTGAATTTTGTTCTGAATCGTTTCCGTCCATTTGGGCTCCGCTGTGCGTTTTCCGGCGGAGGACCGGACAACCCAGCTGAAAGCGCCAATAACATATGTGGCGCGGAAGGGTAATACGACGACGAGATCGGCGGCGGCGATGCAGAATTCGGACTCCAATTGCCAGCCAACGGCGGAGGAGGCGGGTGATGGCGATGGTGCGGCTGATACTCAATGACATGAGTCGGAGCGGAATTAATCGCCAAAGTGGAGATTGGTTCCTCAGGGTCCCGGCGGTGGAAATTCCGGTGACAGCCACACGCAGCGCACTTAAGCGAAGTGGGATCGTTAGGAGTGGCAGAAGGAGAGGGCATAAATTCCCCACATCCGTCTAAGGCATGAGCTCCTAAAGTGGCGGCGTGGTTTTTGAGACATTCTTTGTAAGTAACAAGCGGAGGGTGTTGTTGAGCGTGGTGGCGCTTGAGAAGGCCGTTGGTGAAGGGCGGCGATTTAGCGGAAGGCGGCGGAATGGTTGTGGGAGCATTATCAGTGTCGGGGTCGGGGGATTTAGTGTTATTAGTAGTAGGGATGGGAGCTGCTGGGGCTAAATCCATGGCTCTCTCAAAAACACAGACCTCTCTAAACATGGAGAATTAAACAACAACAACAAGAACCACAACAAAGAAATAAAAACTTAACCTTTCTGTAAAAAAAGAAAAAAAAAAAAAAAAAAAAAAAAAAAAGAGAAAAAAGAGAATAAAAATCAGAGCTTTTCTGTGGTGGAGCTTTGTTAACCCAATAGAGTAGTTGGGTTATTTAACCCTGGTTAGTTATAATGTGTGGTTAGTTGCATGGGTAATAAATACGGGAGTGGGGGAGTAATTTTTAGTATATGTCTAAGTTAATTTTAAATTTAATTTTGGGGGTTCTGATGAATTAATGAGTCGGGTCTCGTCGTCTGTGGATAATTATGAGTGGGTCAGGGGTGGGTTGACCCGGGGAATTTTTTTTAATTATTTTATTTATTTAAATTTAACTATAGCTGATGGAGGGAGGACCAGAGACAATACACTGCAACCCCATGTTATTATTTTTTTTAATTTTAATTTTAATTTTTATTGCCAACTTGCAGGAAGGACTGGACCGCTTTTAAAGTTACCTTTATTATTATTATTTGGGTTTTTTTTTATATTGGCAGGTACTAATGAAATGACGAAATTGGTGCTGTGGATATGGTGTTTAGGAGGGAAGTGGGGAGGGTAGAATTGTCTTTCTCAAGAGTTGAATATTACGGCTGGAAGTGGAAGGTATTTATGTCGGCTTCAAAGGAATTTTAGGATGTTGAACCCATATTTTGATTTCTTTTTAATTTATTATTCTCATGCTAAACGACACCGTTTTGAGTTTCTCATTCTACCAGATATTATTAGCGTAGGATCAAACAATTTTAAACTTTGGAGTGAGGTTATTAAATAAACCACGTGGAATAAGTAATCAGTATTTATTATTTTAAAATTTAAAAATTGGGAAGGGTAGAAAGGGAAGAAAGGATGAAATATTAATAATTTGCATCGAAACCGTAAAACAAGCTTTTCCGTGCTTTCATTCTCACTCAATTATAGCTTTTTCTCCCAATAATGGTCGACCATATTATTTTATTTATTTTTTATTTTCCCTTTCGAGAGGGCATTTTGGGAAATTGGGTAGCCAAAAATGCAAATATGAAAAATGTAGGGGGGTGGTGGGACCGGAGTAGGGGGGGTCAAGTAATGGGGCAGCTAAACCCTTTCACTCATAATTGTAGGGCATGGGCCCCATCGTCTTATCATATTAATTACATTAATTAATTCATTCACATTTTATTTATTATTTATTTCTTACCTTTTTTTTTTTAAATTCTTTATCTACTTCTCTTCTTTACCACCCACCAAAATTTAATTAAATATCTAAATAACATGCTTTTATATTTATATCACCACTTAAGTAATAAGCTTTTAAACTAAGCTAATATGTTTAATTAAATTATGAGTCAAAATGATAATAAATATTCATAATTCAACAACCAACCAACAATCATTTTATATGCTCCCTTAAATTTAGACTTTATAATTCTCAACATTTCATCCATTATTTTTTTAGCTTATACTAAAAGGAACCAACACATCAAATATGTTGGAAGTCCCATTATTATTCCTATTATTATTATTATATGCATCGTATCTCATTTACCTAAAATATATTCAAATCTTTGTCCTATGACTAGATCTTACTCCATCTCGTCTCTGTCAAATGACCCTTCACTTTATATCTCGATCCTAATAATTTTACCCTATTTTGTGTCTATTCTATTATATAACGAAGACGTCATCAATTATTTAATAATTCTTCTTGATGCTACTATGCCTAATACCACGTGAGGAGTTTTGAACATTTGTTCTCTTAGTTTGTAATGTCTTAATGAGTTGAATTATGATACTTTTAAACTCAGAAACGTCAATTAATGAACCCTTCAAATGTAGGTTCCTTTTTGTTTTCTATATGTGGTTATAAATAAGAGGAATAACTCAATCGTACAATACATAAAGAGAAATATTAATATTCTGACTACTTGAGCTATACTTGAGCTATACTCAAAATCGATGAGAACGATAACGGTAACGACATAGAAGTAAATAGAGGAGGGTGAGTTAGTTTGGTGAAATAAATAGAGATGATGAGGAGCGGTGAATAATGAGAGTTAATAATAGTGAAAGGTGAGAGGAAATTGAGGGGGCCATGGAAGATGAACGACAAACCTCCTCATTCAATTCATTCACTCTTCTTCTTCTTCTTCTTCTTCAGAGACAAAGAAAGTGTCAGTGATTGACCTAATAATAATGCAGCTCAGTCCATTGCAGATCTCCAGCTTCCGAGGTTTCGAGTTGCCGGTGGGCCCTTTCCTTGTTCCTTCTCTTTTCCATATCTTCAATCCCCTAACCATGGCGGCCTCTATTCTGGTTTTGACCTAAAGTTTTAAAACCCTTTTGACTCTTGTGTATCTATCTCATAGTGGATTGAGAAGAGTATTATAAAACAAAACACAACCTATTTGTAGATTTTTATTCATTTTTTGAAATGCATCAGACCCAATTACAGCGTAATGCCAAATCACTAATTTCTGTTCTCTTTAGAAACACTCAAAATCCTTTGTTCTATTTTGCTGCCAAACCATCAATTCATCTGATTAAGAATGCTGTACCATCACAAAGAAGAGAGCATGAGACCTGTAAAAATCATGTGAGCTAATTCGCTCGTACTCATGTGAATGACGATTTCCTTTCTTGATCCAATCCTAAGAACGAACGTGTCGAGAAAAGCCCAGCAAAACCTTGTGACAGACAACCTTCAACAGCACAAGGAGCTTTGGAGCAACCCATTGCACCATTATTTCGAACTATTTCTGTGTTTCCATCTGCTGCTGCTGCTGCTGCTGCATTACATGAAGGTCCGTTTATCTCCAAGTTCACTGGCTTGCAAGCCATAAATCTACTTTTCTTGATGCTCGTAACAGGACTTAATTCCATGGAGCCAGTTGTAGGATCACTCGGAGACACCATCCCATCCATTTGCAAGTCCTCGGGTAATTTCCTCTTCAAACCCGGGAGAATCTTTAATCCTGACACAATCATAACCCGTAAAACAGAGCTTATTACATACAACATTCTGCATGACATGGAAGTCCATTTGTAGAACGAAATCTATTATACCAGGAAACGGATCTTCAGATGCACCTGACTGTGATTCTGAGCCTCCACAACTACAACGTAACTTTGAGATTTTATTAGATCCTGACAGCCTGCATAATAATTAGATGTTATCAGCTTATCGAGTGTTAGTACAAGACTAAACCATGCCACGTCAGACTCGAGACTATATCCAAGCCAGAATTATTTAACTACTTTCAACTTCAAACTCATTGCATCTGTAAAATCCCCCACAAACAAACCTGTACATGTGCTCGACGAAGTCATCAATTAGGACGGGCCAAGCACCTGAGAGAAGAATGCAACTGAGTAATTCCAAATAGTACAGTAGAGAAAAATAGAAAAACATTATGCTTGTGTACAGGCATACCCAACATTCCACCAAAAGACTACGGGTAGTCTTGAGGCTCTTTCCTCTACAAGAGAAATGAGGCATAATCCTCAATTTAATTAGACAAATTTAAATTAAATTCAACAACAACAGACCTACGTGTTATATAAAAGTCCCGAGAGGATGGGGGGAGGTATCCATCCATAATTTCTCAAGTCAAAATTATGCAGCTCATTTTTAACATCACTATCACTATCAATAACGGGATCAACCTATTCCTTTAAATTGTTTTCTGTATTATCAATCTATTCATTAAATTTTGTCTTCTGTATCTTTCTTAAGCTTTAGCGATAAAAGTAGTAAAGGGCTAAATTATCACAACCAGAGTTGTTATAGTATTGCATTCTAAGGTGGACTTTTATATTTGAAGAATGTGCAGACAACTGTTAGATGCATTCTTCCAGCCATCATATAACTATTGAACTTCTAATCGCAGTGTATGGTCATAGCAGTGTATGACTCTCGCAGAAGAGGCATGTGCTTCTTAAAAAACAAAAATGCACAAGCCTCAAAAACATTTTCAAGCATTAAGCATACACTTGAGGAAACAAAATAACAATAGTATGCCAGCATAACAAAATGATCAACTAATATTTGCATTGTCATAATATTTCAAGCATCCCTAGAAGAACCAAAACAGAAGATTAACCATGAAAATGAAAATGAAGTAGTATATTCTTCTTATATAAATTGACAAAATATATTTATCCGTGACTTTTTCCTGTGATAGTATTCAATTGTATCGATGGACAAACTTCCAACAGATAAGGAGATGTATTACTTGAAGTAATTCCCAAGTCTTCAACATTTTTGATTCAGCGTATTTAATACACAAATAAATATTTTAAAAGATAACAAAAAAATGTAAATACAAATACCTTCAGGATCATACCCTTCCAGATTTTCATGTACACAACGGCTGAAAGCCAAAACCTGAAGCCATGTATCCTCAGAAATATTGTGTCGCTGATTGTTCTGTGGAACTTAACTAGATTAGAATCCTTGAGATAAGTTGGATCATATGACACAACACGTCTATTTCAAGGAACAAGGTAAAGAATAAAACCCAAAAAAATAACTTGGATGCATAAACCTAGACAGAAGAAATTTGACATATTAGAATCTTAGGTATAAAAAAATACCCCAAAATTTCCCAAATTCATTAACTTCAAAAATTGAGATACATGCATATATTTTTGTAAAATACATATGAATGTGCATACAAACGTGTCTACGAATGGCAAATAATAACATTGATAGAAATGTCCATTCATGGGTATTTAGCATGTAGGTATATTTCATAAACCAACGTTGATGAAAACAACTTCAGGTGGAAATTCCAGTTTCCTGATTATAATCACTATACATTTTATTTAAAGTTTGTAGACTACATTACAACCAAAGTGAAAAGAAAGAAAGGAAACAGGACCTTATTAGGAGAAGAAAAAGGGGGAAAATGGTACCTCAACAAAGTCACACCATTGATTAAGTAACCGAAATCTCCCATCCAAAACTAATCTCCATGCTTTAATTGCCCTACCAACGGCTGTA